AAACATTTCTGAAAATATACTGAAACGTAAAACAAAAATATCGAGGGCATAAATGGAACATAAAAAGAATGTTACTGAAACCAATTTTTTGAAACGTTTCATTGGAAACGTATTTTGGGGAGGACATCTTGGGCTTCTAGAACGTTACCAGAACGTTGCATGAATTTTTTATGAAACGTTTCAAGAAAAATGGAAACGTTTCTGAAACATGTCAGAAACTGAAAAATGTTTAGTGGGTTCAGATATACCTAGAAAATTGTGAAAAATAATTGATATGTAATTGAAAATTTCAAAGTACGTATTTGATTGTTCATATTTAATTTCAGATTTAATGTAGTAGTTATGTGCGTTTCTAATTAGAAATTTTAGAACTGACCTGGTCATAGATAAAAGAGTTAGACCTGAGCTGTTTTCTTTTACTCATGATTTCGGAATCATAACGCGTTACAATCCGAAATCTAGCAATATGATTGGTTTCCATCGGATCCTAACACGTTATGATTCCGAAATCATGAGTAAAAGAAAAGGGCTCTGGTAAAGTAATACAGTCCCCCCTCGTATCTAAAGCCTTCAAAATGGCGACCTCCTTTATTAGCAAGTTTGCGCATCTTGACACTCATTCTCCCTACTCCATATCTCTGGTCTCAAATCATCAAAAAATTGCAAGGCTGATGCTGTCATTGACGTCAAATTTGTTAATTTGCAAAGAAATATGTCGCGATGTATTGCTATTGCACTAAGAAGTCGCGAATTCAATGCAGACACGTTCAAGGTAATTCTGGTCTTTTAAACCCTCATTCAATATTAAATATGTTTGCAGTTACTGTCTTGTATGCGGACTTGTGTTGATGAACCATCATCACCTATCATGTTTACCTGCACATTCAAATGGTATCTCAAATCAGTATTAATTTATCTCTTTTTCAGTCTGATTCGCAGTGATAATAAAATTCCTTATTGATCTCATTCATTGTACTGGAATGTTGAAATGAAGTCGCTACCCCGGGCCATACTATGTACGATAGGACTACTTTTCATATGCTTTCTATTTATATTCACGAATCCAATAAACAGGGAAGGTGAGAATAATATGGGATATCAATTAGGTATGCTTCGCTTTGTTTTGTATTGGTAAAAAGTGTCTTGTGAAACACTGGTAATTGCAAATTTTGTGAGCTTTAAAACTTCTAACTTATACATCATGTGACGTAATGTGTATCGCAAGTTTTGTTGCATTCATTACAGAATTAAAGCTAATTTGTTACCAAAAAATAATTTCTTGGATTAACAGTAATTTTTCATTTATGGTCATCTGTTAGCAAAAGTAACTTTTCGTTCAAATAGTAGCAGCAGTAGATACAGGTACTAACAAATTACACTTAGTTATTAACTTTGAGGAATGATATTGAAAATTTGTAGGAGCATGGCAGTAGACATATTTTGGCATCTTTTACTTTTAATTTTAAATCGTTTTTATTATGATAATTTTGAACTGTCTTTATTAAATGTATTTTCATTTTTTTTCCAGAATTTGTTCGTGTTTGTATTAAATTTTGCACTGCTTATATAATGGAAATTTCTTTGTCTTTCTGTTTTACATTTGTTATTGCTTTTTTATTTGTCACAGTGATTAGTTTTTAATTTATCTCGGATCTGAAGTCTTTTATTGCCCTTACTAGAGTACTGGTTCGTCAGACTCTGCATAATATTGCATCATAAAATTAAATATTGAATTGAATTAATCTCCTGTAGATATCTAAAATACTGTAATAAAAATTAAAATAAATACCATTCTCTAGTCTTAGTAAATTACGCACATATTATATAGGTATTTATGATTGTATCCTAATAATTTATTCCTATACAATATAAAAACACAATAAAAGATTACTACTATTGACAACCCTTCTATTGTATTACTGATTTGGATATGGTTGTTGTTAAATTACTTTGAAATGACGAAAAATGTTTTAATTTAACAGTGTGTTGTATAGCATCTCCAGAAAAATCGCTTTTATCAATTTTAGTTAAAGACGTATTTACTATTACATTAAATAACAGATATTCATGAGTTTAAAACTTCAGAATTTATTGTAATAAAATGATTTGATATACGATTAATTCATTTATCTGGAATCATTTTTCAAGAGATTCTATTTCCAATCGTGCACCATTATTACCAGACCTAACCTTAGCCTATAGTAACAATGTAAATAGTAATTACAGATCTTTATAATTTAACTTGGTAGAATCTAAATATTAGAAGAGATAAACATACTGAGATAAGCATCCTCAGGTGTCTCTCTAAATTTTTGTTAAAACATATTTAACAAACACTGCTTAGCTTCTGCTTCATATTTGTAGACCATTTTTTAATCTCATCTCTATAAATAAGATTAGCCACCTGACAGTTTTACAAGAGATTGTATAATAAAAAGTATTACATAGGATTAAATGAATTCTTGACAATAAAGATTAAATCCAGTAAAAGAATTACATTTATAGCACATTAACAACCTCATCAGATAAACAATAACATTTTAGCTTCAATTAGTGATGGGACTACTCGAATGAATTATCGATTATCGATGATTATCGATTATATCGATTATGAAAATCTCTCAAGATATCTCGAGTGATCATATAAATTCATTCAATTATTCGGAGACGAATGACGCAAACGCACTGTTCAAGCGAGGGTGAAGGTGTTTCGATTGTTACAACGCTCTAACGAGCTACAAAACGCTCGAGATAAGATGGCCGAGAGGATGGATGAGACAATCGAATATCACCGCATAAAAAAGATATGCAGTAATTTTATGAGTTGCATCGCACGGTTTTGAAGGGCACTTTAGAAGGGAGCTTTATTTAGCGAGGATATAAATTCATATGAATGAAAATAATACAAAAATTATGTTTTCTATATAATTTTTTTTTTCAAAAACCCAAATGGATCTCTAGGCGGCGACTACTCATTTTAAACACATGCTGCTGAATTACTCAACTGACAACGAAGAAATGCCGCAATCTGCAAAAGTCATGCATTCCTAGCGTCGACATGTTTCGCATATAATTTGGGATAGGTTGGAAATTTTCGAAGTGGACTTTCGATTATATATCATTCGATTATAAAATTAATTATGGTAACCTCTCGATTATTTAATTCATTCGTTTATTCCCATCACTAGCTTCAATGAAAACATAATACATGATCAGAAGTGGACATTTTTACATACCTTCTTAGCTATGAAAGAATCTGCTCCAATATTTATTTAAATATAAATAAAATTTCATACTTTGGTTATTTAACAACATTTGTAAATAACCTTTTCTGTTATTAATGTTGAATTAATGTTTATGCGATGACTCCATTTATAAGTCCATGCATTTTTACAGTTGGTGTAGTGGGATGGGAGTTCAACACAACAAGAAACACTAGTCAGTACATTTTAAGGAACAATTTGACTGCGGTTGTCATGCCTGAACGTGTCTGTGATCAAAAATCATTGTTAGTCATAGTAGTTTGTACGGCGCCAGGGAATTTCGAAGAGAGAAATGCTATAAGAGAAACGTGGGGTAGCGAACGATACGTCCTAGGTAATAATGTGTCCTTATATTTTTTAATCGGAGAGACTGGCAATTATTCAGTGCAAGTAAGTGTTTATTAAATTTGTATAGCCTCTTTATAGTTACACATATTAATGAAGAAAAGATCATTTTATTTATAAAGTGAATGGAACTCATCTGTTTTAGAACGATGTGCTGTTGGAAAGTAAACAATACGATGATATAATACAAGAACGTTTTGTCGACTCATACAATAATCTGACCCTAAAGTCCATCGCAATGTTGAAGATAGCGACAAGTTATTGCATCAACACGACAAAGTATCTTCTAAAAATAGACGACGATATGTTTCTCAATCTGCCGCTCCTTATTGAGATGCTCCTACGGAAAAATACAAATGAAAGCGTACTTCTTGGGAAACTTATATGCAGAGCCAAACCGATAAAAGATACTAGTAGTAAATGGTGAGTAGTGCTTACACGGAATACAGTAAAACTGTGGATTATATTTGATTGCTCCATCTCATGTAGTTACCAACATTTAGGACTGATTGATGTTTGAAGGTTTGGAAGAATTATATAAGTACATTAAGTGATATTATTGTTCGTAAAATAGCTGAAAGTTTGAGGCAAATAGATTAAATTTAAATGTTTTTGTAGGTATTCTCCGAGATATATGTACAAAGAACAGATATACCCAAACTACTTATCTGGTACCTCATATCTGATGTCTTTAGATGTAGCTGAGAAATTGTTCACTGCTGCTTTATCGACGCCAATTTTTCATCTTGAAGATGTCTACCTCACAGGTATGCTTATCCTACAAATAAAATGTCTTTTTATTTTTTTGTTTAAAATGTACAGGGTCATCTATTATATAGGGTGTAACTTCAAATAAGGGTCATATTTATACAGAGGTTCCATTGAACCTTTAGAAACACACACCATAAATTGGTTTTCTCAAATTTACAAATAACTGTACACTATGCACACAACCAAAACTAATTCTTCATCCAGAAAGTTTTGCCGAATTAACGTTACTCGTTTGTTTTTTGCCCACTTAGCGCCTTGTTGTCATATCACATCAGGTGGATTGAAATTATGAAGTTCACTTAAACTGGGACTATATCAGAGGTCATTGGCACTAAAGTAACTAAACACAGTGCTTTAAAAAAATGTAGTAACAAATATCTTTTATTAAAAACTTCGCAATTTTTATATTTTTTATGTTAAAAGCAAATCCTAAAGAATCCGTTTCCAGGAATGTGTGCGAGGAAGGCACAGGTAAGACCCTGCAGCCACCCGTTGTTTACCTACAGTCGGCAGCGCAACGAACCGTGCGAATTCAGAAATCTCATCACCATCCATCACTTCACACCCGAGCAATTAAGGGAGACTTTCAGAGCGCTGAAGGACCCCCACCTGCCTAAAAGGTGCGAGAAGTACAAGCCGACGTTTAATTCGCACAGCTGGCTGTTAGGTAATATCCTAAAACCCGGGAGGGTGCACAGGAAAAACAGGTGCGAGTGAATCGTTAATGTGAACATTCAGCAATCATAAATTTTAGCATGGGTGGTTCGCATCCATTTTTCGGAAGTCGGCTAACACATATAATAGCGAGGTTCTCATTTGAATAGTAATAACGATATTTTCCCGGTTTCTAATCCAGTAGGAATTATTATATGTGATAGTTTGGAATAAATTTTATCCTTAGGCTGATTAAATGCTACATAGAGGTTGTTTAGGATGGGGGGTTAGATCGGTGAAAGTAATTTTTTTACATTTCGGGGTATAGTGTCTAATTTTTTGCTTATCTTACCTAGAAAATTTTAATTTGCAGTAAAAGCTGTCCCAATGAATTTTCTAAAAGATAAGGTAATCGATTTTCATATTTTTGCCGTAATAATCCATGCACAAGCATTTGGCAAACGTGATAGTGCCTTTACTTTTTCAAAGAAAAAAACCGCCGACTGCTTTTTAAATTTGTGTTAATGATTCCAGGCATCAAAGGTAGAACAAACTGTACACGTAAGAACAACCGACATTAAGAGGATGTTTAGAAGGATTTTTATTAGAATTTAAGTGATCACATTTCTAGTAATGTCATTAAGTACCATAGCTTCATATCAAATTTGATGCGTTGCTATTTTAATAGGATATTAAGATGTACTCTCTATTTTATAATACTCATTCGAACGGTATAAGTGTAATATAAAAGGAATATGTCCAGTGCTTGAGGGTTGAATGACCTTGGATTGTTATGGATTCATCTGTAGGCAGACGCGTCCTTGTTGAAAATTAATACTCTACGTAAAAAAGCTTGTGTATCGTTAAATGTTGAACACATTTGAATTTTGTCAAGTGTGCCCCATCTCGGGAAACTGATACGTGAGAGAGATAGGAATATATAGGAGGATATGAATATGTCAGACAAGGATAAACAATGCATCCTTGAAGTTTTATTGCAATCGTGCAATTTTCTTTCAATAGTAAAAATATCAGTCAAGAATTAAATAAAAAATAATTTATACTTCGTCAGCAGAAACGCAAAGCTTTAATATACATAATTTAACAGAATGTAAAATTGTAAAAAAAAATATTTCCACTTCTTATTTGTGGAAAGGCGAAATGGGCGGTGACTATTAGGCGCTTTCATTATAGCCATCTTTCTCTATCGCATGGATTTCTATGACTTACTTTATCGCTCTCACGTAACGGCCGATGAACCATGGGGACTTTCCGACCCTGTATGTATTTTGAATGGGTCATTTTTGAAACGCATGATAAGTTAATTTTCTCAAATTCCGTCTTGATTTTTTAACATTTTCTTTTTCTGTAATTTTTGTACCCCTTAACGGGTTAGTGTAGCTTCAAACAACAGCACATTCTCATAAATTGACTGAAATCTAGAATAAATATATTAAAACAAAGTGATCACATTATAAAGCCATTCAAATTTCAAAAAATATTAATTATTGAAAAACACTCGAAATTTTTTTTTAATGTTCCCATTATGACTATTAGTTGGTTTAAAAAGGTAACAACACGCAAAACCGATCGGAGCGCACATACAAGCGAGTTGGGGAGCTGCCCAGTATGGGCGTAGACGAGAGTCTAAATACAGTTTAAAAAACAAATTATAATGCAGGCAGCTATTCGATTTACAAACAAAAAATAATTTTAGTTCATTATTCTGGAGAATACATACCCCTAAAAAACAACACTAAATGGGAAATTTTGGAATTTGATCTGACAACATCGTCCTGCCCGCTGATCGCCTTTTCTTAGGTTGTTCAACTCTCAAGCATATTTAGATGAATTGTAAACTACGTAATTTATTGAAATTGATTGGATATTAATTTGCTTCTAGTTTGAAGACGGCACTCGTGATAAGCGTTATACTAATAAAAGTTTAAGCGGCACGTACAAACTAATGATGGGTTTATCGGAGGCCTAAATTGGATTTAACTCCTTAACCAACTATGTCTTATATTTCCATTTAGTTCATTTGGTAAACCCAACATTGATGTGACAAGGGATGGACAACTTTCTTAGGGGTAGTTTTTGGAGAATGGGACATTCCGTTATTATTTATTTATATATTTATGGCATTTTGTGATTTTTTTTATTATGCAAGTAGTAAAATACAATAAGAACGGTGTTCATCCAAAAGTGTGAGATACAAAGAATAGAAAGCTTTTTTCTATTAATATGATTATGTTTCGTGATGAAACGGAGGTTATTTGAAAATAGCGATGAGGACAATTTGGTTGTTGGAGCAGACAGTACTTAATTATGTGCTATGTGATAATTAGTGCTTTAAATAAATTTAATAGTAAATTAATGTAAGGAGCAGTGCCAAATCGTGACTACAAGTGGTAAAAAAAATCCTTATAATTTTTCGAGTCGTCAAGATGAGTAACTCTCACTTTCATTGTAGAATATGGTCTGTTTTTGTTTCCCTTACAGTTCGTTTGTTGCACCAAAAGTGCATAAGTATTTAGTAATGTAAGGAAGCACATATGTGGTGAAAGTGGATGTTGATGTACTTTATTTTGGTTCGTTTTGGCTCTTGTGAAATGCCTGCCGAATGAGGAGTGTCTGCAACAAATAAATTCTCACCTATCCGTTTTACAGTTCATTATAGAACTACTACTTCTACTTTCTTAGTTACCCGAAAATTAGTGACAATTATTATTTTTTTTATATTTAACAGTGCCTTTTTAAATGTGTAAATAGGAACTTGAAAATTAGAAAGTTTTTGTTTATATTTTTTTTTGTAAATAACTCACGATTCTTTAGACTTAGACATATAGCCTAAGTTTGACTAATATATTTTTTTTTCTCGTAAAAAAAACTTTATAGTGCTTTCAAGGACATCATATAAAAAAATCCATGTCTGCAGCTACATATCAATTTTTCCCATTCCATATCACAAATTCTATTTACTTTGAATCGAAATGTGAGGATGAGTTTTTCAGTCTCTTACCGAAATGTTTAAATGTCTCTATTTAATTTCTTAACAGTTCATCTTGCATAAAAAAGCTTTTTAAAATATCAATTTTTCTCCATACTTTTAGGGGTTTTTCCGTATTTCCTGAAAAGTCAGACAAAAAGTACTTAAGATGTTTAAGAGAGAAATTGAATGGTAAAAGCAGCATTTCATTAACTTATAATACATCAGTGTTTTTCATTTATAACTCTGTTTTGTAATTTCGATTAACTTTTTTATTCAAACACATGAAAAAGTTTAATTTTTATAAAGAAATTATTAATTTCATTCAGTCGTTTGTACAGTTTCTCTGTTATAACAAACATATTAAAAAAAGATATACAGTGAAATTTCTCTTAAGCAGACATCACCCGTTGTTGATTTTGTGGCAAGCGGCATCCATCAGAGAAAATACTTTGTCATACATTAAAAAATTTTTAATAATTGTTCAGAACGACTTGTGGTAGGTTGTTCTTTAGTTCGATGCAAAACCTCTGCCTCAATGACAACTCTCCGTGCAGTTCATGGATGTCAACTTCCTACACCTGGTTTAAAGTTGTTTCCTCTTAACGATGATGGATTCACGAAAATGTTGTTTGGCAAGGATGTCGATGATTCGGAAAGCACCCAGCTTCTCTAATGTTGCATCTTGCTTCGCCATGTCTGCATAGTCTTCGAACATAAATTCGTCCATTTAAACAACTTAGAAGCAAAATTTCGTCGCAAACAAAACAAATATGAAACACTCGATTTGGTCATGACATGACAGCTCTGTTCATTTGTTTCACTATTCCTCACAGCATGTCACAGATGCCATTGCATGGCTAGATTAGATGCGTGCAATAGAGCTTTTATCACACAGTTGTGGATAAAATCAATGTTTCCAACATCGTGTGTAGGACATGAGTTGGTAAACACTTATCAGAAGAGAAAAACGTGTTTATTTTATTTCAAATAATTTTTTGCGTTGTCCTTAATAAAAATTACTTAAATATCAGTCTTTGGGTGTCAACGAGATAACATTACGTTTTTGGACAAAAATTGCTCCAGAGTCAAAATGGCTCATTTCCGACTAGGGGTTTATATGCAAAAATTTTTTAGCGCGATGTCCTCTATATCCCCCTCAAGTTTGGCAACAACTTTTTGAAACACCCTGTATATGTAGATATGTACATATTTAAATATCACTCATTTGTTAAAAGATAACTATCGTCTATCAAAGTTCATTTTATTATATTGTTTTCAAAATGCACTGAATTCTTTTTTCGTGGCTTAACTTGTCTGTTTTTTAAAAATGCCTTTTATGGTTTGGATATAATTTTAACTATGCGTTTTTTTCATTACTATATCGGATTGCCAAATTTCACATACTGAGCTTTTCTCTATTATATACAGGGTGTTACGAAATTCGCGGACACGGACTATGGGGTCATGTTAAGCTTGATATAAGGTCATAAAAAAATTTCTCTATCATTTTTCAATCAGACCAATATTTTTCTAGATACGGCAGTTTTAAATATCCAAAAATAATAAAAATTTTCAATTTTCAATCATTTGATAAACAACTATGACAAACGAATTGTTCAAAATTCCCACTACCTGCTGCTAAACATGCTTCAGTACGTTGTGCTACTGCTCGAACGGAGTTGCGTATCATCTCTGGCGTTACTTCTTGTATTGTTTGAAATAGACGGCTTTGTAACAATTAATGACAATTAGCATTATCAGTACTTTGATATTCGGTACAGTAAAAGTACCTGTCAATACAATCTGCAAAATAATGGGCTACAATTATTCAAATCGTAAATATTATAATATATTGATGGCTCTCGGAGCTTCAAATAATCGTGCAGGTGAAGCAGTGCAGCTATACGCTATGCGGCATCCTTTACGGCGATCCATTTGCTTGGCCACCTCGTTCTCCAGACCTAAAGCCATGTGATTTTTTTCTTTTGGGTCTTCCTAAACACGGTGTACAGAACACCAGTGGCAAATTTGAATGCATTGCAGCTATTTCCTATTTCAATCAGTACAGCAAATAACATCACGGATGATACGCAACTCCATTCGAGCAGTAGCACAACGTACTGANCCACCCCCCGCGTGGGGGTAAAACAAAAGATCGAATTATGGGGCCCGTCTTTCGTATCATTTGTCGGGTAGTGGGGGAAACAAAGTACTTCATGAAGTGGATATCATTCCCCGTCTGCTATCGGCAATAGGGGTGGTTTTACCCCCACGCGGGGGGTGTTTTTCACCTTGAGCATTTTTAGGAGGGCATTCTTGATGTTACCCTTGCCATGTGGAATTCCGCCAATTTTTACCCAGATTTTGGTGACCATTTTTTCTGTTTTCTTGTTTTAGGGGTGGTTTCCACCCCTTCAGTAGGGGTAACTGATCAGAATCTGACAGAAGAACTAATTATGGGGGCATGTATTTCATTTCATTTGGATTTATAAGGAAGAGTGGCACAAAAAAGGCAATTCATGAAGGGAACATCATTTGCCGCCAGTTTTCGGCAATAGGGGTGGTTTGACCCCCATGCGGGGGATGTTTTTCACCTTGAGCATATTTGGAAGAACATCCCTGATCTCTTCCTTGCCATTCAAAGTCCCGCCAATTTTTACCAAGAATCAATTGACCATTTTCTCACGTTTCTTGTTTTAGGGGTGGTTTCCACCCCTTAAGTAGGGGTAAGTTGGACAAATATTGGAAAAATCGAATTATGNCGGTACAGTAAAAGTACCTGTCAATACAATCTGCAAAATAATGGGCTACAATTATTCAAATCGTAAATATTATAATATATTGATGGCTCTCGGAGCTTCAAATAATCGTGCAGGTGAAGCAGTGCAGCTATACGCTATGCGGCATCCTTTACGGCGATCCATTTGCTTGGCCACCTCGTTCTCCAGACCTAAAGCCATGTGATTTTTTTCTTTTGGGTCTTCCTAAACACGGTGTACAGAACACCAGTGGCAAATTTGAATGCATTGCAGCTATTTCCTATTTCAATCAGTACAGCAAATAACATCACGGATGATACGCAACTCCATTCGAGCAGTAGCACAACGTACTGAAGCATGTTTAACAGCAGACGGTGGAAATTTTGAAGAATTGTTGTAAGTCGTTTGTC